CGCTCAACATGCCAGCAATACAATTTTATTATTGTGTACCAACGCATAGATCTGTACTCGTAGATGTTAATTGGTGGTGGGGATCCATTCGCCGTTGGACCAGAATCAGATGTCAATCAAACGGCTTCACATTCCTCTTACACTGTTGGCACAGCCTTTTCGCTCGATGTACCGGCTAATATCTGAAAACCTACAGACTTGAAGTAACAGATACAGGATTGTGGATCACCAATACTCTGGTGCTGACATTTTTGCATCCATCACCTATAGATCACCTTCACTGCAGCTCTTACATTTGGATGATGGAACCATGTACAGATGCAAAATGCTCCACTGGCCAAATCATTCCTACCAAATATGCCATGATCACCTTGCAATAATATATGGCATACGCTGCAAGCTTTATTACTACTAAACCATTAAGTATCCCCAACATATCATAATCAGAGCACACGATCACCCAACCGAAAAGATCTAGCCGATTCATACCCACATGCGAATCAGATCAGGTGCGTGAACATGTAAAGGAAAATACGAAAATGAGAGAACGATTGTACCCAAATCATCAGAAGCATTCGCATTTCCACCATCCACCTGCATCTCCTCCTCACTCCCGTCATCATCCGCCTCCTCCGCGGCACTATCCTCCTCTTTTTCAACCCCAGCATCGCCACCCTCTTCCTCTCCCACCCCAGCAGTATCACCACCACCACCACCACCACCACCACCATTAGCACTGACCAAGCCTTCGTCGCCCCCTCCTCCCCCGGCGCCGCCAAGGAGCGCCTCATCCACTCGGATCAGCGCGTCCATGATGCCATACACCTCGGCGTCGAACTCCGCGGGGAGCCCGGCCTTCCTCCTGGCCGCGGCGCTCATGCGCCAGTAGCTCCCCCCGGTTCGCCCCTCCCAGCGGCGCACCGCCCCGTACTCGGCCACGAGCGCCTCCCACCTCCGCTTGCACTCGCCGGCCGCCCTCCCCCTGCGCCTCGAGGGCGCCCCACCGGCGTCGGAGAAGGCGATGTTCTCCGCGACGATAGCCCACTTCTGGAAGGCGGAGACGGAGCGGGCCCAGCCGTCGTCGTCCACGGCGGCGACCGCGGCGACGAGCGCTAGGGTCTCGGCGGCAGTCCACTCGGGCGCGCGGCCGGAGCGCGTGCGGCGGGGGCTCGGGGGCCTGGAGGATTTGAAGGCGGGCGGCGGCTGGTCTCTGGCCGCGGGCGTGAGGGCCAGGGCTTTGGAAGGGGACGGCGAGGGGGACGCCGCTAGGGCCTGGACGATGCAGGGCGAGTCGGAGGCGGCTTCGTTCGGATCCACGGAGGGTAGGGCTTGGACGATGCACGGGAAGTCGCCGCCGCGGGGATCCATGGAGGCGGAGGCGAAGGCTGTTGGAGCTTGGGGGAGGCGAGAGCTGAGTGACAGAGTGAGTCAGTCGGTCAGTGCGGCACGGAGGCTTCGAGCGAGCTTCTACATAACAAAAGAAAAAAAATGCCAAAAACAGACTAAGAACAACTCTGGCAACCTTTCAAAAATAAAAAATAAAAAACTCTGGCAAGTCGCGTAATAACTATCAGTACGATGATTTTAGGTCCAAGTCAATCTAAAATAGTCGCCAGATGTAGTCTCCCGTAGTGCCTTTATATTTCTTTACGGATGGAGTATATCGATCGGCATAAATTGCGATGATTGACCACTATGTAGCCTTCATATTTGGAGGCTAGGGAAGCTAATATGGAGCGTCACGACTATTTTTGAAGCACGGCGCAACCAGTACACGCATCTGCGTGTCCTGATAAATCACCGGTTAGTGGGGTGATGTGACCGGTAACCATCAAGCCATTAATGACAGCCACCGCTTCCTAGTCCCAAGGCGACCATTCGGATGACCTTTCATCCCCGGCTATAAGAGCCTGACCATTTACTCCTTGCCCCTATGCTCCCATCTCCTCCTCGTTGCGACCTCCCCTCCCATCTCCTCCTTCTCAAAAACAATGCCACTATGTCGGAGCTTAGCCGGCTAGCTGAAAGGGTCGGCAGAGCGGAACGTCCCGTCATAGACACCGCGCAACCGCGGGGCAAACTCTCCCTGCGGCACTAGCTCTGGCAACCGTTGGCTCCTCCTTCCCGCGGCGGCGGTGGATCTAGCAGGTGCGTGGGAGGCACACCCATTGTCTGGGTGAAGGAAGAGTTGGGGACGCCAGCCCCGCCAGCCACCTCGTTCGGGTCAACCACATCGTCCTCATCGTAGCCCAGCCGGAGCCGGAGGCGGGCCCCTAGGAATCGATCCACGCGGTGATGGAGCTCACCAACATCCATGCTCGCAATGAGGCTCGGGTCATCCGCGAGTACGATTTCGCATGCACCAGCGAGGAGAAGGTGCGATAGCTCGCGACAGTCGCTCATGAGTCTGACCTCCTATGCTTAGATGGAGGATATCTCCTCGACAAAGTAGGACGGCGACAATGGTAATGGCAAAGAGGAGGAGGGTGATGACTAGACAGTGTCGGCTACCTAGTAGTGAAGTTGTCGACCGCCTGGTAGTGTAGATAGTATAGGTTGAAAAATGTTATACGACATTTGTAATTGCTAATTATAGTAACTAGATGATACCCCGTGCGTTGCTGCGGGAATCAGTTGCAATATATTTTGATGAGATTCGATTGTGCGAAGTATAAATATTTTGATTAATAACATATGGATCAAAATTTAGAATACATAAGACTTACTATAACTGAGTGTGTATAGTTGTAAAATATTTATTAAATAGAAGTAGAATAATATAATGAAAATTATTTTTCATGCATGGTTGCATGTGGTGTGGATCTTTTCCTGTGCATGGTTTTATGTTAAGGTGGGCTTTATCTGATCCATAATTGCATGGTGATGTGGTATGCTTGAATGTTGAGATAAATAAGTTAGTGGTGATGACTCTCTTAAGTGTATAGGATGCGATGAATTTTAGCCTTTATTATAGTTTTATGGTATGTAAATGTGACGGATTTTGACACTTTTTATTGTTCTGTTATAGTTTCTAGTAATAATTTATCATGTGGAACTTGCATTTGGTTTAGCTTAATTTGCCTCTGCATTTTTGAAGAAAATAACAAAAAAGATCAAATAAATGAAAAATGTGGGGGTCGCCATATGGTGACTCTTTGTTTCTGCACAACCGTTGTGACCTGCATATCAATATGAGCATGCTCCATAACCCATACGGTGATCTCCCATATGGCAAATATGCTAGAGTTGCCCTAAGAGCCTACCTAAAACCAGTTTTATATGTGGATTGAAGGTTTTAGGTATCAAAAACTGGATATCTAAATTTCAGCTTCGGTTTCTACCTCACGTATTTTGTGCATATGCAATGCTCTAAATAATATGAAACTCATGTCAAATAATAAAACAAATAGTACATTATATAGTACACCCAATCACAATCCCAAATTCAACACAATTGTTCTTCAAACATAACGCAAAGTACATCAAACATAAACGGAACATAGAAGTAGAACTATTTGTCTTGCTGCTCATTCCAATGTCCACCACTTCCAATTGCGATCTTGTTGCAGACTTTCATGAGTATCCACAGCTCGAATTTCTTGGTATACTTGAAGAAAGTGTCATGCGTCATTCTCTCCAACGCGGATGCACCACCCTTTCCATGAAGTCATAGAAAGATACATAATAGCCATTAAAGCTATGACTTAATTCCCGACCGTTGCAGAGTGGAGAGGGATCTTCTGGTAGTCGAGTGATTATCTATACGGTCGAGTGTCTTCAGGATTGTCGAGTGGAACATAACTTCATGGTCGAGTGGATGATGATTTTTCTTCGAATGCTCCTGGTACCTTTAGGGATGTCCTTGGGGAGGGTATCTTGAACAGATCCATGACCCTACCCTAGGTACATAGCTTCGTCATTAGCCCCCGAATGGATCAGGGTTTGAGTGAGGAAGGAGTTGAGAACACTTCCGACTCATTTTTCGTGCTATGAGTATATCTTGCTCTGGATCAATGAACTGAGGAGATGATACCAACTTCTTTTTCAGTCGCCTTGGTCCATTCTTAGTTTTTGTCGAGTGAACTTTTACGGAAGAGTTCCGAATGATGATGCGGAGGATGTCTTCCGTCTGACGAGTTGTTCTGCTGTCTGTGGATTTCGCGGGATTCAAATTTTGGGAAGCGCGCCGGACGGGCGAGGCCGTGGTAATCGGGATGGATTAGGCAAGTCGCCTCGATTCCCACGCCACCTTTTTTGCCACGTATCGCGCACGCGACTGTTGCGGGATTTGATAAGATCGTCCGGGCCTACACGTCAGTCACTCGGAAGTGTCCTTATAAAAGGCACCGGATCGGGCTTTTGAACAGTGCACCCTCATTCTCCTTCTTCTTCCTCAGATTTCTCTGCTGCGCCCGCTTCCGCTCTTGGCGTCGTAGCCTCGCTCCGACTCTATCCTCTGCCATGGGAAAGGAGAAGACAATGGCGTTGGAGCACGCAAAGAAGGCGACCGCGAAGGCGAAAGGAAAGAGGACCAGCTGGGGTGGATCCTCGTCAAGATCTGGCCTGCCGCCGGGCTGGATCCAGGGCGACTGGATCCGCTCGACGATCAGCCAGGGCGACCTCGACGACCTGGTTGAGGGGGGACTGATCCCCCACGAATCGGCGCGGCTCCCGGGGAACGAGACCGAACCGCGGCCGCTGGAGGGTGAGTGCGTTCTCCTCGCCACTCACGTCGACCGCGGGTTCTCTTTGCCCCCCATACTTTCTTTCGTGGTTTTTTGAACTTCTTCGGGGCTCAACTCCACCACTTTACTCCAAACACCATAGTGTATCTTGTTGCCTTTGTGTCGATGTGTGAAAATTTCTTGGGTTGTCGACCACACTGGGGTCTATTCAAGCAGATATTCACCTGCCGCTCCCAGTCGGTCAAGAAGGCCAACCCGAGTGACGAGAGGATGCACGTGATTCAGATGTGCGGGGGCCTTGGAATCCAAATGAGGAATAAGAGCACCTTCCCAGCTATGATCCTTCCTGACTCGGTCCGGGGCTGGCAGTCGACCTGATTTTACTGTAAGGACCAGCCGACCCCGGGTCAGTCGACTGGACTTCCCCCCTTTTCCTTGGCTCAAGTAGAGAAGCCCTCCTCCTTGAGGGTGATCCCGGAAGAGAAGGCGCAGGTGAAGGCATTGGTCGAGCGGGTCCTCCAACTTGTCTGTGACGGGGTGACTGGAATGGACCTGCTGGAGGTCTTTCTCAGTCGACGCATCCAACCACTTCAAGCCCGTGACCATCCGATGTGGATGTACTCGGGACTCGAGGACTCCACTTGGAGGACGTTAGTGAAGACACGGTGGAGAAGTGGCTGAGAGGAATCACCAGCAACAAAGATAATCCCAGGGGGTCTAGGAGGGTGATTCCATTCGACCATTCGCGCCAGCCGGAACAAGTATGATTCTGCTTTGTCAAGTATCTTCTCGATTCACTGTGTAACACCTTGTTGACGGTCGACTGTATTTCTTTCGTTCATTGTCTTTTCAGGCTCTTATTTATATGTACTCGATGCCCAATGGAGTACAGGAGCAAGACGTCGAGGAAGGGGCGAGCGGGGGCGAGAGTGGCGACTGGCACTCGGATGCTGAGGAGGACGAGGAGACCGACGACTCGAGTGACGGCAAGGAGGTCGACTCGCCTCCTTGCAGAGAGAGAAGATCCAAGCACGCTCAAGACCCGGCGAGCACCCCGGTCCTGGCGGCTGCACCGACTGGGCCATCTTCGAAGCGCCCTCGGACGTCTTCGCCAGCGCCGACTGAGAAGATATCGAAACAGCTCAAGATTGTGCCGCCTCCTGCGCCAAAAGCATCGAAAGCCACCTCCTCTAAACCACCGAAGTCTTTGCCCAGAATCAAAGTGACTGTCCCCACCATCTCCGGGTAATCATCTGATCTATTCTTTTGTCCGACTCGAGCAACAGAACGTAACCGACTGAATGTTGACATTTGTAGTGCTGCTACATCTGGAACTTCTTCCTACCAATATCGAGATGAGGAGATGGAAGACGCGGTTACCTCCAACCCAGGTAAAAACTCTTATGATCTTGTTCTTGATTACTTGGTCGATTAACTTCTAGCGATTCACTTGGGGTCGACTGATTTCTCTGCAGCTCCACCCAACGTCATCGATCTTCCAGATGATGATGAAGATGTGGCCCCTAGGCCCAGAAAGAACAAAAAGTAGCAGCTGGCAAGACGTCTCAGCAAGGACCGATGACCACACCAACCGCCCGACAATCTGAAGACGCAAGCGGGGCCTCTGTAACTTTCGATGTACCATTGTCGAGTGAGTGCCCTGCACCGTCGATTGAACCGGTG